GGAGAGACTTGAACACTGGGCCTCCGGATTCCAAGTCCAGCGCTCTAACCGCTCGGCCACGCTGCATGCCACCACTGATAAATAGGGCGTTAATAATTGCAATCGCTTAATGTGTGTAAAAACGTCAACAATTCTCCCTGTGATTGTCTCCATTCGTTTCCCCACCAGTAGATAAGGAGAAGAAGCTAAAGCAATGTTCTGTCATTCCCAGTTACAGTCTACTCCCTTTATTACGGACACAGTAGGGACCTCGAGTTAGTGTCCTCTTTAGCGAGAGTCCGTAATAGCGGCAGTTTAATTCAGGCAAACGTCTTTAATTTGTTTTTGCCGGGGATTTAGCTGCTATCCGTTTTATCGAGGTGTCAGCATCGCGAGAGTTGACTGTAGGTGGCAGTGGTTAAGGCAATAGCAACACGAACGATACAAAAAAGCTTAGAGATTTGGAATTGGAAACGTTCCCATTTTACAGGGAACAAGTTGTACATTGGAGGACATCATTGTATGATTGTGTATAAGAATTATAATTTGTTGGAAATTCTGATCTTAGCCATTTTAGTCTTCATTGTCTCATAAGTGTATTTAGTAATACATAAAATCCCTGAGTGTGAAAGGATATCAGAAAAGCCAGAAGCAACAACGACAATTATAATAACACAAAGTATTTGACACAGACATATTGTCTACTCGTCTTAAGCAATTAAAAGTGAAGTTATAAAGGTTACTTGTTCTTTAATATATCACTTTGTTAATTTAGTAGGAAAGGAACGACTTATCGTATGAAGAGGCTGTTTTTACCGAGTGGAGGCAACTTTGATAACAAATCTATTTGTTATTAAACACACGGAGTATTCTCACAGACTGTGTGACGAGAGGGTTAGTTTTTTTTTTATCCCCCTGCACACCCCTCTCCCCCCCCAAAAAAATATATATATAAATATAAAATCCTTCACAACATGTAAGTTGACTAAAAAATCATTTATTCCTAACTTTCTATAAACCTAAATAATTTTCATTTAGAATGCGTACTAAGATTGCATTTTAAAATTATAAAATAATAACTTAAAAACAAACAAGAATATATATTTTTTATTCTATTACGTTCAGTTTTTATCTTTCATGCATATTTATTTTAATTTATATCTTTAGTATTTATNAAAAAAATATATATATAAATATAAAATCCTTCACAACATGTAAGTTGACTAAAAAATCATTTATTCCTAACTTTCTATAAACCTAAATAATTTTCATTTAGAATGCGTACTAAGATTGCATTTTAAAATTATAAAATAATAACTTAAAAACAAACAAGAATATATATTTTTTATTCTATTACGTTCAGTTTTTATCTTTCATGCATATTTATTTTAATTTATATCTTTAGTATTTATAGTTGAATATATCCTTTCTTATATTTATATAAGATAATTTCAGTTGTATAACCTCAAAATCAACAAAAAAAAAATTCCGACTCAGGATACGACAATACCAGTCTTATTCTAGACAAAGGATCAACAGAGATGATAGTATCATCCAAAGAAACATGATTTAATTGTATTCCTTACAGTGAGTCTTCGTTTATGTTTTTTATATATTTATAAAATAACTAAGATAGTACGCGCGTTCTGATTGGCTTATTGTGCCGGTAAACTCATAGAAAACTTAAAGTTATTTTATAAAAGCGATAGATCACACTTTCTATGGGTTTACCGGGCATGATAATCCACTTGGGATGTTGGGAGAATACTCGAAAAGCTTGTAAATAACTCGCCTTTGGCTCGTGATTTACAAGTTTTGCTCGTGCTCTCCCGACATCCCGCGTGGGTTATCAAGCCGGTAAAACCTTAAAAAGAGTGGTCTATTGCTTAAATATATTTTAACTTTTCGGAGCGCCTCTACAATTTAAGGTCCACGCACATGTTCAACGCACCGGCGAAAGACAGATTTCAGAACTCACTCATGATGTACTAGGCCGCAACCGGTGCAAGGGCGGCCATGAAGAATTCACAGAACTATTGTTGAAGTCGCTTTATCAACACAGTCGTTATGACCTGACGATTTTACATATTCTATATGTTTATTATACACTTATTCTGTAATCACTTAATGTGTAATTCAGGTGAGAGATTGCAATTTGCAGTTATAAAAAACCATTTATCTATTTTCAATTTCAAATTTTTTTGTAAGTATAGTGCGTTATCTTAAATCACCATCACCATCATTATATTCAGCATTATACACAAGAGCCCACGGCAATAGTCTTCACTATTACCACTTGTTTATGACGTACCCAGAGAAAAGGGTTTAAGCTAAAGTATATTCATAAAAACATTAAAAGGACAAAACCACAGTAACGCAGGCAGTCAGGACAAACTATAAGAGTTTGGGCTCTTTCCAGACATGAGTATCCCGCTTCCTACATGTACCACTGGTTTCCCTCGTTGCGTTACTTTTACTTTTCACCTTTGAGTAATAACCATGCAAAGCTTATGGGCTCCAAACTAGAGTTTTTAAAAATGGTTATCAAAGTACCAAGTAACACTATTTATCATCTATTTTTTGGTTACTTAAAATTGCTTCTAGGTTGGAACTTTTATTGTTTGGTACTCAGGGACTTCAGCAAGAAAGCATTGATTACCCATTTACCGACAGCAAGGAAAACACATGCACTTTCGCTTGACTTGAGTGCGGTCTTCTGAGTGCTGCTCTTTGGCAAAGTTGATGAAAACCTACCAAGAAAAGCCGAGAAATAATAAGGCCACATCCCACAAATGTGACGCTGACCGGGCCTCTAATATACTCAAAAAAGATGTTCATCAGCGCCCACTCTCACACCCAATACTTATAATCTTTATGAGATCTTTAGAGAGAGCGGGCGAGTTTCAGGCTTCTGATCGAAGGTCAAAACGCCCTTGCTCCAACGCTAGTGCTTTGCGAACGTTTCACCTGATAAAACGAATGCTGGCCACAGACGTGTCATGCATGCGTAGCAACCTGTCGCCCGCAATTATTACCTTATTTATTTAGGTAATTGACGCAGCGTCGCCATAGATGGCCATTGTACGCGCGTTATTTGCCCAGGCAATCCTGGAGCTAAAAAACTCGGGCGTTTTCTCAGTTAAAAAAGTAAATAAACACGCATTAATGTCAAGATTGAGTTTTGGAAAACTGAGAAGACAGGCAAACACATAAAAAGATACACAATGATTCAAAGGTAGCACATCCACATAGTGGTTCTTCGTCTACCATAACTGATCGAAATGGAAGTTGGTAGTTTTGGTTTTTGAGGAGAGGGAAAAACTTGAGTACCCGGAAACCCCGGGCCACATTGTACGTGAAAGGCAAGTGCTCTCACCAGTGTGCCACTCTTGCTCCTCAAAAATGAGCTTAACAACTTTACCTGTTCTAGTGTTGTCTGGCTGATGCTGTAATCCACAATGTTCAACGCA